GCGGTTGGCGGATGGCGAGTCTCCGTTCGCTGCGAGTGCTACTCCTGGATGATGGGTTCGCGGGTGGTGTTCGCGGGCTACGAAGGAGACTTGACAGCGAGTGGCACGTTGGTGATGCACTGTTTAGTATCACTCGCGGCGAGTGCAGGGCTTAGGTGCTGCGCTCGTAGGCTGTTTCACCGGTCACAGATTGGAATTCGCAGCGAGTTCGCGGCTAAGGGACTGCCTTGTGCTAGGTGTCGCGGCTCGATTAAATGGCTCGGAAGTTGCTCGAAAGTAGCACGAGCGTCACGTATCCCCAGGATTACAATTTGACCATAAACACAACACCAAAAGAGATGCGAAAATACGACATAATACAAGAACTCATAATAAAAGTGAAAACAAATAAAATATGATAAAATGGACCGGTTGACACTCAAACAAACCTAAAAACGACTTGACTAACCCTAAAACTCAAGAAAATAAGCACAAAAACATAAAAAACAGTATTTCCGATCACTCCCCTTATATCGTGACTATCATTGAGGGTAGGAGCACTAGGGGGACTCCTTGACGGTTCTGTAATATGTGAACGGATCATGAGAATTTTTAGCCGTGTGTCCAAGATATTTGGAACCAAGGTAGAGGGAGATCGAGTCAATACCGACTTAGCACAAAGTTGAAGATCCTTAAGAGAAAACTTGAGGAACTTAATGAGGAATCCTTTTCACATATCTTATCTCGGGCCAATGATTCAAAAAGTGCCCTCACTTTAGCTCAACAAGTGCTCCATAACAATCTCGATGACATCGACACCTTGTCTAGGTGACCTTCCCTTAGACTATAAGCGCTTAATTTGTCCAAGGCGAAAAAGCTCTCCTACCAATAAAAGGTCAAATGCAACTTTCAAGTAAAGGGCGACAAGTGCGCCATCTTTTACCATGTCTTGGTCAAGAAAAGATCGAAGCGTAATTTCATAGCCTCGATCAATCGAAAAAATAGAACTATGACTGACTCCCGCGATGAAGTTGCTAAAGGAATTTGTTGGCTACTGTGAGTCTCCCTTGGGAACCAGTAGTGATACGGAGGATGTGGACCCCCCACGTTTTTGGGATCATGCATCGCCGACGAGCATCTTAATTTGCTTCATGCCTCGATGACCAAAGCCGATATAAAGGCCAACTTAAGAGACATAAGGGAAAAATCTCTGGGTCCGGACAACTATACTTCCTCCTTCTTCTTGAAGAGTTGGGCCATAGTCAGTGCCAATGTAGTGTCGGCAATTCAAGAATTTTTTTCGATCCGGCTCCCTCCTCAAGCAATGGAATCACACCACTATTACGCTTATTCCAAAGTCCTCTCACGCCTCGCTAGTGACAGACTTTAGACTAATAGCGTGTTGTAATACGTTGTACAATATTTGCTCCAAGATCCTTGCTAGAAGAGTTAGTGAAGTCTTGATTCCATCATTGACGAGGCACAAGACGCTTTTATTAAGGGGAGGAATACCTCGGATAACATCCACCTTATGCAACAATTGCTTCGTTAATACATGAAGAAGCGGGTCACCCCAAGGTGCACCATTAAAACTGACCTTCGCAAAGCCTTCGACTCTATTTATTGGTCGTTCTTTAAGCAAGTGCTCGAGGGTCTTGGCTTCCCACCAGTTATCACGAGGTGGATCATGGAGTGTGTCACTACCCCATCCTACTCATTATCTATTAATAGGAGCGTCAAAGAACACTTCAAAGGAGTGTGTGGTCTTAGGCAAGGTGACCCCCTTTCACATTTCCTTTTTGTGATTTGCATTGAATACCCTTCTAGACTTATCAAGTGCACTACGGTGGAGGGCTAGAACTTCAAAATGTGTGAGCATCTCAAAATTCCACATCTTGGCTTTGCTGACGATCCCATGCTACTCTCCCAAGGCGACCCATCATCCATTCAAATCTTCATGAATTTCTTCAAAGACTTTGGGGCCAAATTGGGGCTTGAAATGAATGTTCAAAAGTCCAATATCTATTTGGAGGGAGTAAAACATGCTAATCGGACTCGATGAAACCCACTTGCAATGTGGTCCAATGCCCTTTCGGTACCTCGGTATCCCCCTCACCACGGAGCGTACCACCGCTAGGCTTTTTGATGGCTTGGTTAAGCAAATTGAGGCACAACTTAGCCTATGGAGTGGCCATACACTCTCATACGTCGATAGAGTGGAACTTATTCGCTCGGTGATCCAAGGTATAGAGTATTTTTGGTTGGGAATTTTTCACTCGCGTACTATTGTGCGCACCTCAATTATCAAACTATGTAGGAGATTTCTATGGGGATCGAAAAGCACGCTCCTAGATTGGGATAGATTTTGTCTCCCGCGCTCGGAAGGGGACTTGGGTCTTCAGAACTTGAATGCATGGAACCAAGCGTTGCTTGCACGCGCAATATGAAACATGCAAGAAAAAAAGGACACCTCATGGTACAAATGGATCCACAACATTTATTTGCGGGGCAAGTCCGTGTGGGAATGGGAAATATATAAAGATGACTCACCCCATTTCAAATATTATTTCGAGATTCGACGTGTCATGGTTGATAGATCGGGTAGTGAGCAAGTCGTGAAAGTCCTGCTTCATCGTTGGAGTTGACGAGGTAAACAAGATGGGTCACGAAGTTGCTACGATTTCTTGAGGCCACGTGGTACATTGGTGCCATGGGCGGGGGTTGTTTGAGACCCTTGCAATACCCCCAAACACTCTTTTATTCTTTGGTTGGGAGTGCTCAATCGTCTCCGTACGAAAGACCGGTTAGAGTTCCTTGATGAAGACCCAACTTGCTTTCTTTGTTGTGATGTTGTTGAATCATCGTGACATCTATTTTTCGAGTGCTCCTTTAGCTCGAAAATTTGGGGAGTGATTCGGGATTGGTTTCGCCTCTGTCATAGACCTTTGACACTTAAAGGGGCTCTTAAATGGACTAAAAAGGAGGCACGAGGAGCTAGTTGGCAAACCAAGTTGAAGAAAGCGGCGCTCGCGGCAACAATGTACTTTATTTGGAATGCGAGAAATCGGCTGATGTTTGAAAATGAATCTCAACCTCCGAGCCTAGTGATTCGTAAGATCCAAACTCATGTTTATCGTACAATCTTTGCTATCCGAATGTTCTTGCCGAATATGAGAGGGAGACCCTTGGTTTATAGGATTTTCCTTTTCATGGGAGTGTTTGTTCTCATGTTTTTCTTTGTATTGGTTTGGGTTTTGAGTGAGCAACCGACCTTGGTTGTCCACTAAGACTATTCACATGCGAGTGAAGAGCCGAGCATGTGACTGTCCAATGTATTTTTGTTTGCTGATTATCGGTCTTCAAACTTAAGCTTTAATCTATAAATTCACATTTACCGATAAAAAAAAACTTCCTAAGAAGGACTAAAAAGGACAATCCAACTCATACCTACAAACAATATAATATACCAAATTTATAGATGAGTTTATAGAATTTCTTTTATATAAAAATATAAATAAAGTGCTAAATATCAAATACACAACAAATTAAGGATCAATTAAAAAAAAAACGCTAGAGGCAAAGTTTGCATTTTGGAAATGGTAGACATGAATATCTCATGCAAGGAAATCGAGACTTTCGTGTGAAAAAAAAAAATGGATCTTATTCAAAATTCGGAATTCGAAAATGAAGAAGGAAGCATGAGCAAATACTCTGACTTACTAATCAGGAAGAGAAGTTGGAAGCTCAAAGTCAAAGGAAAAATTAAACATTTCATCTGGAAATGTTTCACAAACACACTGCCTGCTGGAGCTAATCTACTAAAGAAAGGCATTGATATTGATCCCATCTGCTCTCTATGTGGGGATGATGTTGAAACTGTGGATCACTTGCTTCTCAAATGCAAAAGAGCCCAGGCTGTGTGGAAGATGTCTCCCCTTCTATGGGATGGAATTCCCACTAGACACTCTTCTTTCAAAAACTGGTGGTGGGAAGTCTGCTCAATCAGCAAATCTGACTTTTCAGAGGCTAGAATCCAGCTGTCCACCTATATCCTATGGTGGCTCTGGAGATCTAGGAATTTATGGCTGTTCAACAAGGAGGAAGTTCCTGTGCAGATAGTGGTGAAAAAAACCTGGCAAGAATGGATGGAGTTCAGTTCTGCTGCCCTTATTTGAAGCTTCTTCGTTTGGTCATCTCTCTTTCAGTAGTTGTTTTCTTTTTTCTTTGGGTTTTTGCTTTTGTTTGTCGGTTTGGTAGTTTATTTGTCAGTTTTTGGGGTTGTTGTTTGGCCTCGGTTGTGCTAGTTGTTTGGTCTCTTTTTCTTTAGTATTGCTTTGGCTTGCTTTAGTTTGTTGGTGTTGGTTTGGAACTGAAGTGTTCTAGCCCTGTGCTAGCTTCATTTCCATGTTTAGTGTCTTGTTGTCTTTAGCTCACTTTTCCAAGTGATGCTCTCAGGCCTTGCGGCCATCTCGGGTTTGTTCTCGTTGTAATGTCTTTGTTTTTGTTTTAATGAGATATCTATCGTTTGAAAAAAAAAAAAAAAAAGAATGAAGAATCCGAATCTTTCTGGCCACTTCACGTGAACGCTTTGCACTTTTGGCCTAAAGAAGATTCCACTTTTCTAACAAGTGACGTTCTCACTTTTAATTAGATTAGCTTACCACTTTCGACAACAAAAGTTAATAGATTCTTCAACAAATACTCTCTCCTTCCTGCAATAAACTAACAGCAAAAAATCAACATACAAGGAGAAGCCACCAGAAAGAAAGTACCAAGACCCAAGAAACTACTGGAACTAATAAACGTCACCTTAGAACATCGATGCCAAATGTTTATCTATCATTGCATACAAAACCTGTCTCCATATGTTTCACCCATAATTTATTGCAAACCCGTTCATTTCAAGTATTTAACACATAAACACTATCACAGAGTTAAAAATACACCTCTATGCATATCACAATATATAAGCAGATTTCCCTAATTTCACTCACACTTAACCTCATATATCAACTCCATAATCACTCTTTTTTCTCCACAGTTTCTTCCGTTTTCTTGACGGACTCAGACTGGACATCCTCAGCGAGCTTTGAGACTTCACCATCAACAGGCTTTGAGGCTTCATCATCAACAGGCTTTGAGACTTCACCATCAACAGGCTTTGAGGCATCAACATTAGCTGGCTTTGAGGCTTCATCATCAACAGGCTTCGGGTCATTGCTTTCGGCTGGTTGCGCTTCACTTGCGCCTTCATTTATAGGTACAGTTGTCTTGATGGTCCCGACTTTGACATATTTGCTCATAAACTTGTACTCCCAATCTTGCAAAGCCTCGAGTTCAAAAACACCCAGCCCGGTAAGGTCGCCGTTAAGGTCTTTTTCCTCAAAAGACATCTTTGCCAGTGCTCTGCTGGCGTCCTTCCCCGCGAATAAAGCGTAGGGCCCACCGGGTCCGTAGAACATCCTGAATTTGAACATAAAATAAAATGGAGTTTTATGTAGAGAAGTGTATGTGGAAAGAGGTGACACACTGTATATGCATATTATGCAAATGTCTGTTGTATCGAGTTTTTGAGGTTCATTCATAAGGCCCGTGATGTAGGCTACAGAAAGAACCAAAGGTTTGAGAATGTTTTACAAATGACTGCTTCTAAAATATGCAATTTGTAAACTAAACGCATATCCCGAGCGGTGAAATTAAATTTGATTGATGTCATATAAGTCTGAATGGTAGTACTATTGCGATTAACCAATACCCACAAGTTCATCTTTCTCACTCGGTTTCAAAATCAATGTTTTCTTAATGCCAATGATTGCAGGAAAGTAGATTCAAGATCATATTTTCTGAAGAAAAAGAAAAAGGAAAAGTACAATAAGGAACAAGCATTATTTGAAAATACACTGAACTCTTGATATTTAGAAGGGTGTTTCTCATAAGACTTTCTCTACATACTGAACATAGTCAGTTCAGAAACTCATGTAATAATTTATCAAGACCAAAATCCTTGACATTTGACACAGATAAATTAAGAGATAGAGAACAAAACAGGTGCATTCTCAATAATTTAATTGATGATAAAACCTAGCCTGTTGTCTCAAAACTGCACTGCAACCCTAGGAGTAAACTTATTTCACCTAATGCTCCTGACAGGGAATTTTTCATCATTTGCATTTCTGTCGAATATAACTAGCCAAAAACGATGAAGGCAAATGGGGAAGGATAAGCTGATACTCGTTCCCTCAACCAATAAAAAGCCCAAAAAGAGCCAGGTCATGGAAAGCTCTACAACCATATTCGAGATTGCACCAAAAGGACTTGGACTGGTGTGAAGTATTATTAAATGAAAATTTGAGATTGCATTGATGATGTAAAGTAACAGATGGGAACTCACTAATGCACATCTCTTTGCCTATACAAGACTAAAATAAATGCTAGTACTAAATTTCAATAATTTGTGTGGAAAAAACACTGCAAAAATAAAATGTCTTGAAATTAAGGGGTACAAAATAAAATTTAAGCAACGGAAAAAAAAAAAAAAAAAAAAA